CTGGGCAACTGCCATTTTGCTGGAGCTGAACAGCCAGAGTTGGAGAGTTAAAACAGATCAGATCAGCCTTCCCCAATCTGGTAAATGTTAACTGGGTTAGATCTGTACATTTCTATAGTTTCATTATTCTTCCAATTTGCCATGTATATGTCATAATAATTATAGCAGCCTTTAGAACCAGACTTTTCATGTTTGCACTTAGAGGTCTGTGTTGTATCATTCTCGGTCTACTTTATCCTTTTGTTAAAAAAAATGTTGCATCTCAAACATTAGGGATGAAAGATAACATTATTAAGTTATCCAAGCTATTTCTCCTTAAATTCTTTCTTTCTTTCTTTCTTTCTTTCTTTCTTTCTTTCTTTCTTTCTTTCTTTCTTTCTTTCTTTCTTTCTTTCTTTCTTTCTTTCTTTCTTTCTTTCTTTCTTTACAGTTTTGTCCAATTTAGTTCCAAGAACTGGCAGCAGTAGTACTTCTACTACAATCATGAATCTACCCTATTTAAAGCATGAAACTTCTCTCGGAGACTTGTCCCAATCCTAAAAATTTTTTGGGACAAATGTACATAGTATTTATGTTGACAAAAAACAACAACAACACTGGAGCATTAGAAAAGTAAAGAATGATTATATATAAGCTCTGAATATTTGCAAGCTAGCTAGTATACACATGTGGTATTTTGGAACCTTGCCAATAGAGCTTTTTAGAAACACATGAGAACTCCGTGCTTCAAAATTCCCAGTCAAGAACTATTAATGTAAATAAATTAAATCTGCTTTTAAAGAGTAATGTAAATATAATTTAATTAAGCCATTAGTCTTTGGCAGTTCTTATATAATACATAAAGAGTATATACAGATACTTGTAAATCTTCGATTTATAACAGTTCATTTAGTGACTGTTCGAAGTTACAATGGCACTGAAAAAAGTGACTTATGACCATTTTTTATACTTACGACCATTGTAGCAGTCCCATGGTCATGTGATCAAAATTCGGATGCTTGGCAATTGGTTCACATTTATGACGGTTGCAGTGTTCCAGAGTCATGTGATCACCTTTTGCAACCTTCTGACAAGCAAAGTCAAGGGGGAAGCCAGATTCACTTAATAATTGTATCACTAACTTAACAACTGCAATGATTCACTTAACAACTGTGGTAAGAAAGATCATAAAAAGGGACAAAACTCTCTTAACCACTGTCTTGCTAAGCAATGGAAATTTTGGGCTCAGTCGTAAGCTGAGGACTACCTGTAATAACCTAGCATTTAATTCAGAAATTTGACTGTGACATTCTGTCTCTGATTACCATCTGCTTTTAAAAGTTTAGAGTTAAATCAGACCAGATTATCTGGTTAATATTTATTCGCTGGTTTGGAGTTCTACTTGCTCGTAAAATTGGGCAAAACTCACTTAACAAATCTCTCACTTAGCAGCATAAATTTTGGACTCAGTTATGATTGTTAAGTCCAGGATTACCTGTATTCCCAATTTACCTTGCAATTTTTTTTATTTACTCACTGTCATTTAAAGGTGACGAGGATAAAGAAGCTCAGAACGATTTATGCTCTGACTCCATTTCTGGAACAGCTGAGAAACAATTGATGTGATCTTGGATAAGTGTTATACAATGTATTGATGTATTGGAGACGGTGCATAGACCAGGTTTGGCTTTGTGGTGAAACAGTTTATGGCTTAATTCACACCAAATGTGGTCAGGTAGGAAGTCCATAAAACTAGTCCACTGTTGAACAAGCAAATCTGGGGAAGGGGCTGCGTAAAACATGTGTATAACAATTATCAGGCACTACATCCCCATTTATCACCTACAAGAAATATGTCCACTCCCATCCAAAGAGTTATGGGGAGGGAGTCATATTCTGAAAAGCTTGGGTGAATGCTGATCAGGAGTGGGATGTTCCAAGAACAGCCTGTGCCAGTGATGGCGAACCTTTTAGAGACCGAGTGCCCAAACTGCAACCCAAAACCCACTTATGCATCGTTGGGTGCCGGGTGGGGGTGGCCCATTGGCTGGGTGTGGCCAATTGGGGGGTAGCCCATTGGGTGGGCGTGGCTGCAGTGGTAACAGCAGACTGGGTGGGACTAAAAAGTTCAATCAATCAATTCCAACTTTGCAAGATCTTTTTTTTTCCCGCAAGAAGTTGAAATTGACTGATTGATTGAACCTTTTTTTTTTGCACACGGCAGTGGAGGCCTAAAGCAAAAAGGTTTTATAAAACCCAGCTGAAGGCCTAGGACTGGGGCGACGCGCACGTGCCCACAGAGAGGGCTCTGAGTGCCGCTTCTGGCACCTGTGCCATAGGCTCGCCACCACTGGCCTATGCTGATAAACTGTAATCAGGTCATGCCTATGCAATCAGAGAGTACAGCTGCTGCACCAAAGTTCAGCTCTGATGGCAAAGTCTTGTCTTTCAGTTCACACCTGGGATTTCATTAAGCAGAAAAGTGACAGCCTAATCTCCATAGGTTGTACACAGATTAGCTATTCTCTGAATGTGAATGTGGAGAGTGAATTTGATACCCTCTGAATTCAAAGGGGGGAAAAAAACTGTGCAACTTAAAATTACCATCCTACCTCACCCCATGTCTGTCTATTAATTTGTATCTTTCAAATGAAGAACAAGCAAGCAAGAGGGATGGAATATTACAGAATCTGATGGAATATTACAGAAGTGAAAGTAAACTTTCACTCATAGTAGATTTGCTTTGGGCTGCTCTGTATCAAATCTCTTCCTTGGGGGTTCTGGGAGCTGGAGGGCACACTTGGGGGGGGGAGGTTCTGGGATCTAGATGGCAGCAGATTAGGGAAGACTGTTATAGTTCCCCATGAGGAAAATATTCCATTCCCATTTAGTTAGGAGAGGGGTAGGCAACCTTGGCTCTTTTATGACTTTTGGACTTCAATATCCAGATTCAGGAATTCTGGGAGTTGAAGTCCACAAGTCATAAAAGAGCCAAGGTTCCTCACCCGAGTTAGGAGAAAGCAGAAGGCTGAACTTGGGATACTTTGGGACCTGATGACCTCAGTCATGGAGAATGAAACCTATTTACACAGTCCTGCTCTTTCAGCTAGGCACACATCTCCTTCAGCGTTTTGTTTCTTTTATAGCAAAGAACTAGAAATGATCATGGTCCCCTTCTCTCTCTCTCTGTGGTGACTGTCCTTGTAGTTTTCTTGGCCAGATTTTTCAGAAGTGGTTTGCCATTGCTTCTTTCCTGGAACTGAGGGAGAATGGCTGGCCCAAGGTCACCCAGTTAGCTTCGTGCCTAAGGAGAGACTAGAATTCACACAATTTCCAGCCTGATGCCTTAACCGTTACTCTACTCAGTGGTTCTCAACCTTTTTGCCGCGACCCCCAACCGATCGTAAGTCGAGGACTACTCAACCGGTGCAGCACTGTTTGCAGAATGGGACTTTTGGCGGGCTCAGCAGGGCAGAGACAGCCTGGACAATTCCTATTGGCTTTTGAAAGCCAATAGAATTAGACTCTATTCAAGAGAGTCTATTCTATTGGCTTTCAAAAGCCAATAGAATAAAAGGGAGTAGCACAGCTAAGGAAAAGGGGAAAAAATGGCGGACTGCATTGTTTGGCGACCCCCGTGAAATGGTCATTCGACCCCAAATGGGGTTGCAACCCACAGGTTGAGAACCACTGCTCTATACTGACTCTCATGCTCTCATTTACCAACTTCAGTTTTTACTCCCTTTTCCTTTCTCTTGACAATCCCTTAGCTCCCTCCCTCCCCAGTCAAGAGACTGCTGGAGAAGGAACAAATTGCTCCTGCCAGGGCTCTGAGCTGATTTTTGGCAGAGCTCTTTCAAAACTGGACTGAGAGCTGTATAATATTAGGCTGGAAGCTGCAGCCTACCAGTCCCAGCGCTACAGCGCAAAGACATTTTGAAAATGGAATTTCACAGAAAGAGAGAGAGACAGAGAGAGAGGGAAGGTTATGTCAGCTGTATGGAACCCCTCAGCAAGTGAAGAAACTGTATAAATTCATACAGCCTTGTTGATGTTGCTGGACTCTTTCACACGCATATAAATCTTGTTACATTAAAGTTTTATATGCTTTAGTGACAGGCACCCTGGACATACTGGAAATATCACATGATTATCTGAGGTTATTTTAAAAACAGAAAATAAACACTGATTTCAGCCTCAGATATCCTGAGCTGGTGATTCTTTCAGGAAGAGCTGAGTAGCAACAATTTTCCTGGCCCCATCCCCATTAAAATGATGGCTTTTTGCCAGTTGAAGAATCTCAGTGGAATTTGAATGTTTCCAGACTATAAATATATTCTGTAGGTTATTCATCAAATTATTAAATAATAAACAGGATGATCCTGCTCATATTTGCCTTTCATTCAACATGCAGCAGCTTTCACTCTGTTCCTCCTCATTCCCTCACCCAACCCTACCTGCACCCAAGATTAGGAATCATCTCAAAAATCAGAAAACTTAGCATACGTTTCCCAAGCTGGATCCAAGCTTTCTCCCCTTCTTTGTGAGAACTCAATGGGAATTATCAGATAATTATTTTAATGAAGACATGGCACTATTAAGAAGATCATATAGAAGGAAGACTGATCAAATACCCCATGTTTTAAGGCACCTCACAAGTGATCTAATTTTTGACACAATAACAGTTAATAAAGCCAAGTTATATACAAAGTGTGAAAACACCCATACAAAGCCTCCTTTTCTCAGATATGAATGTATTCTTGGAGGTAGCAATGCTATTATCTGGACTGCCAGTTAAACACATTTTTGAAATCACACAAAGGTCACAAGGAACAAAAACCTAAGGGAAACATGGGCATTTTTCACAACAAATCAGCACCAAAAGAGCACTTGTTGTGCAATGTCTTTATCTGCAGAACATCCCTGTCCCCTCCCCCCAATTAGTTTCTGCATCAGGCAACTGATGGTTTGGAGACATCATATACCTATAGAAATGGTACTCAAGAGATGGCATGACATACCATGAACAGCTGCAACAACAGCACCAGCAGAAGCAACACGTGTTGTTGGCCCTTTGGTTTCCAGGAGCTTGAGACACAGACGATGTTCCTTCATTTTGGGACTGTTGCCTTTTTCTCATTTCAGCTACTTCAGCACTCCTGTGGCTACAAGAATGTAGACATAAGAGAACATCAAGGGAATGCAGCTAAACACATCCCAACAGCTCAGACCCACCTTCCAGATCAAAACTACAGATGCCATTAACCACAGCAGAGTTTAAGAAACTTAACAGGACCAAATTTAATCTCAGTAGTTTTGCTGTCCCTAATTAATAAAGCAGCATTTTCTTTGGCAAAAAACAGGAGGGGAAATGGCAGGGTAGTAGTAATCATGAAGAACCTCTATTCTTTCAGGAAATGTTCAGGTAACCAAAAGACTTTCCTTTCTCTTCAAATGGTTTCGTGTCTGTGGGGAAATAAGACCTGGCAGCATTCATCTACCTACTGGACAGTTTTACCTTCCTCCCAATTAAAGTTTTCCCCCTCCAGACCAAGAGAGCAAGAATTCAGGTTTAAGGACATTCTACTCCATCTATGAAGTGCTTGGAAGATGATTCCTTCCTCACCAAAATAATTACTTTGTGTGGGTGTTGGATGGAGAAGCAAAGGGATGACATGACAAACTTTCTTGCCTGCCCAGATGTTTTTGAAGAGCAGGGCTGGGATAGGCAAGGTGGTTCTTCACAGAGATCTTGGACTTCAACTCTAATCAGCCCACCCAAAGGCAAGGAGTTGTGAGAACAAAAAGACCCAACTGCCTATTGTTAGCCCAGAGGCAGTGAGATTAGGCTTTGAGATTCAAACTGCAGAACTTAACTAAAATCTTTCCCAGGTCCTGTCTTATTATTCAATATTCATTTAGCTTCAGGAGCTCTTTTCCTTATTCATAATCTCTGAAGTGCATCTCACAGTTTATGCAACACTAGGTAACATTTAAGACAAAGTGATAAAATTGTAGCATTTTGCATTTTCTGTTCAGAAAAAGAATTGTAGTGGAGACCCTCAGATGTAGGTATTGTTGACATGAAATCTGACCACGAGCAACAGAAAATTGTATCTAATATCTAGGTAATACAGATTATAGTATTGTACAATTCAGCTTTATACCACACGTAATGAGATGTATGCTACCATCTAGGAACTCTGTTCTTCCAGATCCTTGGCTATGTCATTGTTACTATTATTACAGGCAGAATATGATCTTTGTTCAGATTCTGGTGGTCCGTATATGTAGCAGTTGGATAATGCACAGGTCTATATAATGAAGGTAACATTGTTTAATGCTGAGGGTGCCTGCTGCTCCCCCGTCGCCAAATTATGGGAGCAAGATTCTCTGGTCTGAAAGAAAAATAATCTGCAATTTTTTTTGGTATCCTTTAGAGATATCCATAATAGTTAGACTTGAGTTAAAACTAGTATTTCTTAATTGGTTTCAGCAGAAATCTGTCAATAACTGTACTCAATGTATCATGCTATATGCTTTTCCTTTCTTCCTGTCTGGCCCTATATATATGTCTTCAATATTTAAAAAAACAAGAAGACCATATTTAGAAGACCAAATGTGTTACTTGCTGTTTGGAACCTAAGCAAATTTATTGATGATTTTAAAAACCCATCAAGGATAGATCGATGAATAGATAAAACAGTTTCCTATAGTTCGTATCCAAAAATATATCTTATTGATTTCAGTAGTCTAAGTCTTTATATGAGTTCTATTTCAGATGCATAGAGTCCAAAGAATAGATAAAGTATTTATGGGCAATATATTGATAGTGAAACAACCAAATATTTCTATTTCTCAGAGAAGCACAACTGCACATATCATTTATTCCAGCAACATCCTCCATTAGTTGCCACTAATATTGCTATTGTCATTTCTACTTAGAGAAGCAATCAATCAGCTCAGCCACTGATGGACACCATTAAGCAGAAGCAAGTTAGAGAAATGTTATTATTAATTTCATTCATAGTCCAAGATTGTTCTGTGGTCCTTTATAATTAAACAGCAAGCTGCCCTATGAAGCACAGTTCACTCTAAGCTGCATAGAAGCTGCACAGAAGCCTGCTGCCATATTTAGGAATAATTAATTTCCACATACTGCATTCTGCCCATAAAAGTAATTAGCATGGAACATCCCTGTGGCCTTGAAACAATGTAATGAAATGGAATCTTGACAGATATAAGACTGCTACCAGCACAGTTAACCCATATATTCACATATGCTCCACCCTCCTCATTAACACTCACAATTCTATGACTAGGCAAAATATAAAGACTGTAGCCAGGACCAGTTCTACAATTAGACAGAATGTGGCAATTGTCTCAGATAACAGTTGCTGAGACAATTGTCTTTCTCCCCAAAGACAAAATTGTGCATGCCACAAAGTCTGTCCTGTTCATTCCATTATACAAATCAAATGTTGTCTTCAGGGCAAGGGAAGATGCCTTTTATTACTAAGGCTGAATTAGGATTGGATCATAATCCTCCTTATTTCTCTGACACAAGCAGCAAAGTGTCTTGAGATGATCATGATTTTGGCTGAAAAAATCTGGTTCTGCTGCATTATTGATTAAATTCTTTATTAAAACTGAAAACAAGACAATGGTCAACAGGTTAAAACTGAAAGCAAGACAATTCAGAATGGATATTAGGATGTATTTCCTAACAAAGCAGATAAGAAGAGTTGTGGCTTATCCCTCTGAGGATTTTTAAACAGTAATTCCTCTATTGAGCAGGTATTGGATTAAATAGTAGTAGACTTAAATACCACTTCATAGTGCTTTACCACCCTCTCTAAGTGGTTTACAGAGTCAGCATATTGACCCCAACAATCTGGGTCCTCATTTTACTGACTTCGGAAGGATGGAAGGCTGAGTCAACCTTGAGCTGGTAAGGCTTGAACTCTGGCTGTGAGCAGTGAGTTAGCCTGTAATACTACATTCAAACCACTGCATCACTATTACAGCTCTTGGTATATGGTTTATGTCTAAATGACATGTACAATCCCCTTCATAAATTCTATGACTGAGTCAGGGTATACAACCTATTTCAGGTAATTTGAATTACAACTCTTATAAATTCCAATAGTCAGGAACTATGCAATGGCATCTAAAACATCCTGGTCTGTGCACTTCCATTTCCTACAGCCAGTGCCCATAATTCCTTTTGCAGAAAACTATGATATGATCTGACCTGTATTTTGATTATAACATCTTCATACCAGAAACAGCATCAATTGCACCCATGGAAACAGAAAAAAAAAAATCACAAATGAAGGCAAAAAAACCCAGAGAAAATTCACCTTGAATACTGATTTGATTTGAAAAATAAATCTGATTTGATTCAGATGTTTATACCAAACCATCAGCTTAGGTCAGTGATGGTGAATCTTTTAGAGACTGAGTGCCCAAAATGCAACCCAAAACCCACTTATGCATCGTCGAGTGCCGGGTGGGTGTGGCCCATTGGCTGAATGTCGCCAATTCAAGTTGGAAAGCTGTTTTGATTTGAAGATTTGATTAGACCTTTGATTTGAATAAATAAACTAATCCATATTAGTACATCCTTAGCATTTATCTTCCATTCAATCTTATTACATTAATTTCCCAAAGAGATCAAAGACTGGTAGTATAATGTTATTTTAACTCCAGATTAATTTCACCTACTTCAGAGAGTCTGATTTTCTAGTGCATCTGTCCAGGATTACAACCAAGTGTAGTATTCCTACTCAACCTATTTCACTTCAGTAGAGTAGCCATTGTAACAACAACAACAACAACAATAATAATAATAAAAGTTGGAAGAAGGCAACAGGACTTTCTTGTGTTTCTTTTGAGGACATTTCATTTCTCATCCAAGAAGCTTCTTCAGCTCTGACTAGATGGTGGAGAGTGGAAGGATTTACTGTATATTGCTTGTAGACAGATAAATATACATTTATGGGCAAGTGCACATCATTCTCATTAGTTATGGAGTCTTTAACTTAAATTAATTGACACATTCCAGTGTACATTTATTTGCTCTTTTTCTCATTTGGAAAATAATTTAAACATTGAGATGAGTGCTGCAAACAAGAAAAGACTCTGATTTCATCATCTTTTGAACTAATGTATGTGAAGGAGAATAAGATTTGTATAATTGTTCACAGACTAAAGTTCTATGATCTTTTTCAGCACAAAGTTTTCAGAAAACAATATGTCAAAAGAAAGCATCATAGATGGCTCTGAGCAAGTTACATGCTTGCTGCTGTGATTGATCTCAGCTTACTTTTAACACCATCAAAAAGAATATGCTACCCAGATGTCAAGCTGCACCAAAATGGAATAACTATAAAAAAAGAGATTTTCTTAAGTTAGGGAATAAGAGCAACCTTAACAGCCATGATACAAGAAAATGAAGCTGGTATCTGCTCTCCTTATTTTCCCCACCTTTTATTTTATTGTGAACCCATTTTTGTGATTGAAGAGTATGAACTCCTATACTTGATATACTTATTTCAGAACAACAATTTACCAGAATGATTTCCCCCTTATCCTACAGTATGTATATGTGTGTGTATACATACACTGTATGTATATGTATGTATGTATGTATGTATGTATGTATGTATGTGTGTATATATATATATATATATATATATATATATATATATATATATATATTCAATAATGATGGTGAAAATGCGACTCCCGGGCATAATTATAAATGGAATGAATAAAGCGCGTTCACCAGGAGAGTTTAAAGTTAAAATACTTTAATTAAAGTATTTTACTATATTAAAAGGTTGCCAAGCTTTCGTTGGGAAAACTCCCCAACATCTTCAGGGCTGAGAGACTGTTTCTAACAAGGTGGTTTAAATGGGTTCCATAGACGTCTGCGCTTGGTTCCTAGACCGTGCCAGCATTCCCTGCTGAACAGCTGATAGGTGGGAGGGGGAATCGGAGTAAAGATTTCTTCTGTCGTTCTCTCGAGCACTTGTGTTCACATCTCCGTCGATCTCAGGGGGTATTGTTAGAGCTATGTTCTGCCCTCTCCCGGCAGCACTGGCTCTCGTTGCAGCGGGGGGATTTAGTTCGATGTCATTGTGTATCCTACCATGGAGGC